AAAGTCTTCAACCATTGGACAAAAATACTTGACGAACCATTCTTCAAACAAAGCTTTAGTTACCCTTGCTTTTTTTATTATATTTCCATATTATTGGTAATTATCCTTGATTTATACCTTTAAGAGCTCTTGGATTCTGAGCTCGATAAACCAACATAAGCTTTAATTTAAAATTTCCTTTAGCATTGCCACCCAATAAAAGGGTTCGTCTATCCTTTGCAGCTCTATATCATGACTGGGAACTCTCAAATTTGGCCAGAAAACTTTTGGAAGGCATCCTTTTCCAAAATAACCCTGTCTCGTCGACGTTAAAAATTTGTTCATCTGAATACCCTCCTTCTTCCACAATTTTCTTCAGAACTTCAGGATATTCACCAGCAGCTTCCTTATCTGCACTAGCTGCTTCCCCTGTAATTCTTACATTGTGCAGGCTAGTTCTTTTCTTGAACTTCTACAACCATCCAGCACTAGCATGGAACTCATCTTTGAACTTTTCTTCTTTTCACACTGAAAAGAGACTTAATGATTTTTCTTTTATGAGATCAGTGCTTAAAGGAATTCTTTTCGGGTTACAGTCCTCTATCCAGATAGTTAGCAATCTTTCTAATTCAATCATGATAACATTTTGATTTCGAGTGGTATGCACACATGATAAGTTTGGAGCATTTTGTATTCATCAGCTTTACCTAAAATTGCTCTTACTGTTGACTCGCCTAGTTTGTGCTTTAGGCCTATTTTTGATTTCGAGACGCCATCTTCACTTTTTCTTATGATTTCTATTTTTTCTTCTAAAGAAATAACTTTTCGAGTTTTCCTTACAACTTCACTTTCATCTTCACTAAGTCTTTTGCTCATGTTTAGGAAAAGGTAGTACGTTAAAATGTCTAAAGTAAAAAAAAAAATGTCAAAAAAATTATTTCAAAGATGCACAAATGGCTTGAGTAGTTAGGCTAATGGCAGACAACTAATTACTTAGATGATGTTCACCCCGAGGCAATAATTTTTTACCCCAGGGAACGGGTTCCCCGTGAAAAAACAATTTGACCCGGGGTAAAAAATATTTGAAATAAAAGATACTTGATTAAGATTTTTATTGATTTATAAATCGTATTTAAAATAAATCTAACAAATAACAAGGCTGACAAAGTTTTATCACTTTTTTGTTCAAGCTTGTCGTAAAAGTAAACAGATGTGGAAAATCTCACAGTATAAAAAAAACACATGTTACAGAATTTAAGTCTAATCGAATATTCATATATCACTTTCAAAATACCTCTATAAGAC